CCGTTGACAGCTGGGAAAGGAAGGAAGGTACGGGGGAGGCGCGGGGGAGACCACGGATACCGGCACCGCGGGTTTGGTCACCCCTCGGTGACCCTGACCTGGAGTCTGGCGTTGGCAGGCGGAGGCGGCATCAGCTGCGTGCTGCAGGATGGCGAGGTCTTCGAGAAGGCGGGTGTGAACGTGTCCGTCGTGTCCGGGTTCCTGTCAGAGGAAGCAGCGCGGCAGATGCGAAGCAGAGGGAAGTCTCTGAAGGCCAAGGACGGTAAGGCGTCTATCGCGCAGTTGGGATGGGGAACCTGGACGTGTTGACCTGAGTATTCCCGTTCAGGTACTCTGAAAGCAGCCTGGCCTTTGAGCAGAACATGAGGAAGGCAAGACTGATGAAAGTTCAAAGGTTTTCATTTGTATCATAGTGATTTCTAATCAGTAAGCTTGACAGGTGGACTTTCATGTCCCTAGAAAGCCAGGTATGGGAGTGCTTGTCTCTCTGTCTTGCTGCAATGAGGAATGTATTGCAGGCACAGGTGGCCTCTCAATAATGAGGCTCTAGTGCAACAGTGAAACAGTGCAGGAATTATGTACCAAAAAGGTGGAGGAAGAAAACCAACAACACCTGAAGGCTAAAGGGGACTCAACACACCTTTGTGTAACAAAGGGTAATTGTGAGGACTGGGGGTGGTAGAAAGCCTTAGCAGTGCCTTATGTTTTAAGTGGTCTTCATCTGGTGGGTTCTCCCAAGTATTGTCACGTTTTAGAAAATACCAAAGAAATCGCTGAGTTAGGTGCACAGAAGTGTATGGATAAGAAGTAACTTGCCCACTGATTAATAATGATGGGTGACCCAACATGAGACACTTTCCTGTTGTGGCTTGGAGACTAAGGGAAAATAGTGATATTCCTTAAATGATAACAAATGAAGTTTATTGAAAAACTGACAAGCTTTTCCTGTGCATCCTTTTATCCAGGGAAGCTGCCTTTTTGCGCCATGGGTGTGAGCTCTGTTATCCATCCAAAGAATCCTCATGTTCCAACCATGCACTTCAACTACAGATACTTTGAAATTGAAGAAGCAGATGGTAAGGATTATAGTCCAATGAAGACTGTATGAAATGTCTGACTCTGCCCCAAGGAAGTGTGAATGCATGGCAGGGTAAGAGATCAAGAACCAGTGCGAGTTTGCTCCCAGGTATGTCAAGAGTCACCAGCTCATCTTGTGAAACTGCTGTCCTGTAGTCAGGGTCAGTAGTCCAAAATGGTTTTCACTACACTGAAGTTTGTGTCATCTTTTCCTGAAGTCACTGATCATTGCACTACCTTGTAGTCAAATTTTTAACTATTGAAGTCTAGGGACACCGCTGAAAAATGATGTTGTTTTGTATTGTAAAAGTAGATGCTAGTTTTTGGTGAACCGCTAGCAACAAGTTGCTGTTCAGAAGTTTAAAAGAAAAATGTTGCTGCTTGCCTCTGCTATAGGAACTAAACAGTGGTGGTTTGGTGGTGGGACTGACCTCACTCCAACTTACCTGAATGAAGAGGATGCTGTTCATTTTCACAAGACTCTGAAAGAAGCCTGTGACAAGCATGATCTAAAGCTGTATCCCAAGTACAAGAAATGGTACGTGGACAAAGGTGGGCTTGGGGGTAGCAGAAAGCAGCACTGGGTGTTGGTAGTTAAGTGTATGCTAGGAACTGTAGGTTCTGATGCCTTTTGAAAAGTATCAGAAAGCCCTAATGAAAATCAGAAGTGTACTGGGACAAAATGTTGTCTAAAGAAATACCTTATTTACAGAATCCTGGATTTTTCAAGTCTGAGGGCTGACAATGGGATCGTAAGTCTATAGCCCAAAGAAAAACTAAGCTGATAAAATTCCATTTAGCCTCTGGTGTTAAACTAGGATAAGACTTCTGCCCCATGAACTTGCACAAACTCTCTTTACAGTGAACTCGTGGTAAATGTGCATGATTTAGTGTGAGCTCTTGGGCCATCACAGCAGTTTTGAAAATCTCATTTTTGTTTTTCTGCCTTCAGTCTTGGCCTTCATAGCCAGGTAATTTCCAGGTGTTTCCAGAAGCTTCAAATTATGAAGCTTCTACATTAATACAGTAATTTCCAGGTATTTCCAGAAGCTTCATAATTTGATGAAGATGTATTTTTTTCTCTGGTGACACATTCACTGAGAGTTCAACAGCACATTTTCTAAGATGCAAATTTTTAATGTTCTTCTTGAGCTGAGAGATACAAGTGATGGGATCTTCCACTACTAAGTGGGAACTTGCTGTTCTGTGTCTGATAATCCTATCTGCCGCAAGCTGTGTATGCAGGAAGGTGGGGGTACCCTTTTGTAAGCTACTAGGTCTTGTCTGAGGATAGGTGATTAAGTGGGTGTTGTAGTTTGGGTGGCAACCACTTAGTAGAGACATATTGTAGAGCCTTGAGATTACAGTCTTGCTGTCGGAGGATTTTTTGCATGGTAGCTTAGAGAATCTACCTTAATGGTCTGGTTCTTTGCTGCTTAAGTAGGTTTTCAATGCCAGCTGCAGGGGGTCAGAGACGTTTTCCCGCTTTGCTAAAGAAAAACATTGTTACACTTACCACATTGTCTACCTGATCTAGATTTAAGATTTTTGTCAGGCTTATTCTCTTTTATGTTTCTGAAAAACTCGGTGTTTTTCCCTAACTCTTCCTGCTATCATAAAATAGAAGACACTGATTATCCCAGTGAATAAAAAAATAGAGTAGGTTATCTGTTACATCTCTATGTCTTTCTTGTTATGGCCATGCCATATATAATGCTGGAGAACAATTGTGGATATATGGAAAACTGTTCCTGTATGGAAAACTAGTCCTAATGGAAGGCCAGGTTTTCTTGATGTTGATGATTCCTGCTTCATACTTTGTTTTGCTTTCTCCTCCATGTGAAGACTTGCATGCCCAAGCAAGGAATTATAAGAAAGATGAAGTTAAGTCATTCAAGTTACAGTAATTTCACAACTAAATACTCCCTGTAAATACAAAAGAGTTTAATTGCTTTTAGGATAAGCTTCCTTACTCATTTATAAACTTAAACACGAGTCATGAAAAGCCACTGCTATGATGATTCAGTCTTTCAAGTTTTAACTATTAAAAAGCCTTTTTCCAAGGAAGGGTGCCATGACACTTGCTTTCTTATCTGGTCTTGGAGCCTTAGGTTACTTTTGTTTTGATGAAGAAAATTCTTTTACTTGGATGCCAAAGAGAATAAATTCTCTTCCAAGTCTGAGTTCATATGAAAGCTGTCCAGATAATGTGAGAACTACATATAATGCTGGGAATGGAAGCTATCAAGAGCCCTCAGTTTTGAAATTTTTGAAATCAGATGTCTCTGTTCAGAGTTGGTTGAGGATATGGATTGAATTAACCCACATGGACGCATCTGCCAGGGTGTTCAGTGACTTTGTGGTGATGTGTAGCTTTACAGAGACCATTTAATCAGAGCTTTTACTGCAAGTGACACAGGAGTGCTTTCCAGGTGATGCTGCACTGTCCTGCCTCTGGGCATCAGGGAAACAGTGGGGCATCCAGCCCTGCAGAAACTGACTTATGGGCAGTATCTCACTGGTTCTGTCCTGCAGCATGCAGCTCTTTGGAGTACTGTTCATGTCTTTGAATACTCTGGACCATATTAGTAATCATCTGATGCTGCTTCTAGGTGTGACGACTACTTCTATATCAAGCACCGTGGTGAGCGTAGAGGGATTGGAGGCATATTCTTTGATGATGTGGACTCTCCCTCCAAGGAGGAAGTATTCCAGTTTGTAAAGAGTTGTGCCAAAGCTGTTGTGCCTTGTTACATTCCCATTGTGAAAAAGCACTGCCATGACTCCTTCACACCAGAGGAAAAGCTATGGCAACAGCTTCGGAGAGGACGGTGAGTACTGGAGGAACAAAAGTATACACAGGAGGTGGACTGGGCTGGCAAGAAAAAAGTATGAGCTAGTTCTTCACGGTTACAGGTTGTGTGGGCCAAAAAACCTCACCAAGAATTTAAGCATTTTTGTGCATAGAACTAATTCTGAAATCCAGTGCTAGATTGCTAAACAGGATGCAAAGAAGGCATTTCCCACTCTCCTATGTTGCGACACAAGCAACCCAAACAAAGCACCACCATTTCTTTTCAACTCCTTCAAAAAGCAAGAGAAGCTTCTGCTGTGTAACAGGCCAAGGGATGTGGGTGTGCTTCATGTCCTGAATCCTGCCCTCTCCTGCAGCCCAGAGGTAGTGTATATAGGGCTGCTCTGTCACATGAGGAGCTAAGGGTAAAAGAATGGTGGCTTCCTATTAAGTAATGCAGGAAAACCCCAGAAAGTCAGGAATAACTGTACTTGAGTTCTTTCAGCTCTTTACATACATCTGATCCATCTGATCTTGGCATTGAAATTCCTGTAAAGGAATTGAGGATACCTGTAAAAGAATACAGAGAGTTGGATTTTTTTATTCTGGCACGGTCCAAGGTTACTGTAAAATACTTCGGAGGATGCCTAATGGCACCAACTGTTAATGCTGCAAAAGCTTAAGTACATTGGTCAATACAGTTGTACTCTGTTCTCCATGTCCTGTGGCTGTTTGAGTGTATGGAGAATTGAAACTATGCTTTGTGCTTAACTAGAGTCTTTAGTTTCTGCCTGTTCTGCAGAGAAATGTGAGACTGGCATGGAAAGAGTGTAAGCATTCAAGTTCAGATCACTGGCCTGCAGCTGTTGGTCACTTAAGCAAGCATCCTTAATTTGGTGGGACTGTTCTTGGGCTTTCAGGATCCAGCCTGTGGATGGGATTTAGCAAACCTGCAAAGTTTAAAAGGTGGAATAGCTTTTCTAAGTTGCAGCAGGACCAGTTCTTGAGGTGTGTCTATTTCCCTGGGTCTGTTTGCAGGTTATGGGGCTATGTAAAGCTTTCCATTTCTGCACATGGATAAGAGCTTTTCCCTTCCTGTATCTTTAAGTACAAACACCCTGTACTGGCTCTCGAGATAATCCTTGATGAATTGTCACAGCTCTGTTCCTATGCTGGGAGCAGAAAATGGTCTATTCCATTGCCTAAAACTCCCAGCCAGCACTCTGAAGCTATCTGACTTTTGCTGTTTCTAGATCTTCCCAGGAACCAGGAAACACTGTTCTGGCCTTGCTGCTTATGTGTCCTTCAGCATGGAGGAATGCACAGTAGAATTTTTTCTCTGGTTATTTTCAGTACCTTTAAGGCCTCTCTTTATTACATCTCTGCAAAGAGAAGAACCAAGGTAAATGTAGTGTCAAGCTTGCCAGCAGGGCTGAGGCCTGGGAGGAGTACAGTACAGCACAGGAGCCTGCAGACTGCTCTCCTTAGAACAGTTGGTCTGCTCTAGTTCTTACCTGAGGTCACTTCTCCCTGTGCTCTGTGGAGTGGCAAGGTCACACCTGCATTCTTATGCAGAGGATGCTGCAGAACAGTTGACAGAACAGTTGATGCCAACTCAGCAGAAAAACAGGCTGGTTTTGTTTGACGTCTGCCATTTGAAGAAAGCACAACCAACTTCTGCTAATAAACTAGGGATTTTTCTGTTGCATCTCTTCATTCCTGTAGGTATGTAGAGTTCAACTTGGTGTATGACAGAGGTACAAAGTTTGGCCTTCTGACACCAGGATCAAGAATCGAAAGCATTCTTATGTCTCTGCCACTGACTGCAAGGTAAGGGTGTGGTTATGTGGAGTTGCAGCAGACACTGTTCTTAGTAAAATACTTCATAGGATTAAATCCAAGGTCTCTTCTGGTCTCTAGTCTCTTAACAGTGACGAGTTCATGCCTGATACAATAACTGGACAAGTACAGTTCTCTGTTCTGCATATGCAGCTGATTCTCCGTTGTACTCGCCTAATTTCCAGTAGTATGTGGCATAGAGATTTTCTGGCAAAAAAAAATTATCGTTTTTTTGCTTAGTTCCTCTTGATAGATTTATTATTCTCGCTCCATGGATTTTTGCTTAGTAGCCCTTAGAAACCATGAGAGCCTCTGGCAGTCCTGCCAAATGTGGGGCAGGGAACTGCACAGTTTAACTAACTGTGTGTTGTATGAGAAAGTACCTCTTTGTTTTCTACTTGAACCTGATGACTTCATCTGACTTCTCACTGAGTAACATGATTTTCTTCCTGTCCATTTTCTCCATAACAGTTTTTATTTTACAAGGCTTCTGGGGGTTTTTCATTGATTGTTTTCCAGGCTGACAGTTTGTTTTCCTGCACTTTTTATTTTTTTGTACAGTTGATGTTTCATACTTTTGCCACTTTTGCTAGGCTTAAATTTTCTGTGCCCTTTCTGAACCAGGGATAAGGAACAGACAATGTAAGCCACATATCTGGATACAAGATGCAGGTGTGCTCCTGACTTATAGTGGCATAGCAATATTTTAATTCATTATTCTTTCCACAGTCCTAATATTATGTTTGTTGGTTTTGACTGCTGTTCAGCATTGAGGTGGCTTTTTTTATAGAGCTGTTACAATGCCAAAGTGTTTTCTGGGCAATAAAATTTAACTCAATCTGTGTGTAACCATTTTCTGTGTCCATCCCATCAATCAACAGTAAATTCACCTGCCACTTTATTACTCAGTTGCTTGGCTAAATATTGTTTTTAACAGTGCTTTTAGGTTTTAACCCATCTTGCTTATGCTTGTCACACCAGTAAATTTGGCCATTTACTATTTATTCCCGTTGCTTTTGGGAATCCTGTCATGAATTCCATAAAACTCACTAGTGAACCTCCCTCTGCTAGGGAGTGAAGGCAGTGGTGTTCTTACCATGTATCTTTATCCCACTGACAACACCTGATGTGTCCCTAACCTGGTGGTGTAGCATGTTCTATGTTTTGACATAATTACGGTGATTGTCTGGGTTTGCTCTTTTTCATCAATGTAACTAGCTCACTTCACAGCATGAAGGGGTCATTCCTTGGGGGGCAAAATGGAAGGAGAATGTACCCATCTCTCTGTGACTGCTGACAATTTCTCTGTCGTGTCTCTTTCAATTGCTTTTTTAATGAAAAAAGGAATCTTTCACCACTTTTGTTCTTAAAACCAAAATTCAACAAAGACTCATAGAGCTTCCAGTTGAGATTCTGGAAAAAGGTCATGTCACTGTCAGAATTCTGTGGGTTCCTGTTTTTGTTCCTCTTTCTTGTTACACTAGTGTGTCACAGGAGACTGTTACAAGATTTTTGCAAATAGACATGCATGCCTTATGGGACATAGGGGTACTGCTCTTTCCTTTTTCCTTGTCCTTCCAGATTTTTCAAAAGTTGGTAAAGAGATGAAGCTAACATTTCTCCCATCTGCCCTAGTGACATTATTATTTGTTTTTACTGAACTTGTGATTTGTAACCATATCTGTCATCTCAGCCAAGAGTATCAACTGTGTATGTAGCTTTGCATCCTTAGAAAAGACAACTCCAGTCCAAACACTGCCTGGTGCAGGAGAAGTGGCTGCCAGCTGGGCCATTTGAGTGAGTTTCCCTTCTCCTTGCAGGTGGGAATACATGCACAACCCACCAGAGAGCTCGAAAGAAGCAGAAATGCTGGAGGTTCTGCGAAATCCCAAAGACTGGGTGCACTGACACGGATCATAAAGAGGATTGATTGCTTCCACTGAGCCATTCTGAGAGAACAGGAATGCCTGCAAACCAGCCCATTCAGACTGCTGTTTCATGGTGTTTCAGTGCGTCTATTTATACTCTTACCTCGTGCCTTAATTATGCTGTAGACTTGTTAAAACTTGCAAGTGTGTGAACTCATTCTTTTAGATTGATGGGCTAATAGTGTTATCCCTAGCTGCTGTTGCCTTGTGAAGGACTGGTGAACACCTCACATGGCTACTCTGCATGCTTTAGATGACTGCAAAATGGCAAACTACTGTGGTGTCTTGAGGGAAATGAAAGGATTATGTGTGCCTAAATAGCACTGCTTGCCTTTATAAAATGTTGGTATGCTTAAAAACATTTTTTTTAAAGAATAAAGGGAATATTTGGTATTATATTAAACCTTAAACTGTGCTTTCAGGAAGCTGTGTTTTTTGATGATATCTTGTTGATTGTAGAGGGGGGAAATGGTTTAAGATGTGTTGCAGCAGTATAACTTGGCTGATGTGAGTTGAGGTCTCAGTGTTACCTCATGAGAAGGGAAGGACGGCTGTCCGTTTGAGAAAATCAGCACTGAGCATCTGTGCAGAGGATCACACAGCAGAACGATGCTGCTCGAGCCAGTTCCATTGCCAGGGAGGTTGAAGGTGGATCAAGATGCTGTTGGATGTTGCCCTAAGGCAACCACCTCTGCTTCCGCGCTCCTCCTAGCTTTGGGCCGATTGGCTTGTCTCCCAGCTCGAACTTCGCTGAGGAGCCGGAAGGGGAAAAAAGCAAGTGGGGAACGGGTTTTCTTTCCGCCCGATCGAGGAAAAAAAAAAGGGACCTTTCTCCCCGTCGGGGAATCGAACCCCGGTCTCCCGCGTGACAGGCGGGGATACTAACCACTATACTAACGAGGAGTTGGATACTAAGGTTTTCCCTCACCGTCACCAGGCGGTAACACCTCACTTGCCACGAGCTTTTGGTGTACGGGTGGTGCCTGGCTTGGCCCCAGGGGCAGGGTGGGGAGAGGCGGCGGCCCTCCTGGCACTCATTGTCCCCCCATGATCGCCCAAGTCCAGCTTCCTCTTGGGAGGTACCGCGTTCCTTTCCGTGTTACCCCTCCGCCCCTAAAACAAAATAAAGTGATCCTCTGCTAAGTCAGATATCTCCTTATGTCCAAGGGGTAAAAAGAGAAAATTGGCCCGTACGGGGATCGAACCCGCGACCTTGGCGTTATTAGCACCACGCTCTAACCAACTGAGCTAACCGGCCAGTTTTGCAGTAGTGGATTGAGGAAGAATACCTGAGGCGCGCCCAGACCTGCCGTGGTCGCAGCCACTGCCGAGCGCCGCTCTACAGCGATCGCTCTTCGTAGACACTGCCTCGGCCAGTTGCTTCATGAAGCCATGGTAGAGCAGCAAGGGCACCAACCGGGGTGACGAGCATTCCTAAAAAATTGAGACTTTCACACCTTTCGTTTTTCTCTGCCTGCTCCCTCCTCCGGTGCGCGGGGGTCAATTGCGGACGGCACGGAGCGGCTCGGCTCGGCTGCACCCCGCACACGGACGCGCACCTCCCGGCGGAGCAGCAGCACCACCGCAACGAACCGCCACGCTTTGTAGGGGCCATTGCCGACCCTTCCCTCTCTCCCTCTTTTTGGCCACGCCGCGGACGGGGATGCGATGGAAAGAGTGATGGGTCCATTCTCCCTGTGAAGGGTCACTTGTGAAATCAAGGCATTGATTAGAAAAATGCCGAAAATATTTCAGAATTAAATACCTCTGAGTCAGTGAAAAAGTTGTAGAGGAAGAGGACATAATTAAATTCCCAGCGCTTCCCTTCACAAACCGTGAGTATGAGTGCTAAATTGAGCTCTTCTCCTTTGTTTCATTTGCTGCTAACACGACCTATCATTAAATACATCAATAAAAAACATACTAGGAAGCCAAATATAAGGTAATATCTACATAGAGAAGCATATATAAAGGTATCATGATGTGAAAAACGCCAATCACTTGTTTTTAAATTTTTAAAAGTTTAATAGTAATAAAATGGTTAAAAAGAATAGTAACACAATTAGAGTAATAACAATTAGGACAAATTGAATTAGGACAATATGAGACAATAAAAACAAAGAGTTCAAAGAGTTACAGATGTCCGAGTACCTTTTTCTGGGCATCATGAGCCCGAAAAAGGACACCCGTTAACAAAGGATTAACCCTTAAGAATAATAGCCCGTTGCATATTCATACACTTCATACATGATGCATAAATTCCATTCAAAAACAGGATTCCGTCTAGTCAGTGTCAGCTTCTTCCTTCTAATCCTAACAGCGCCTTTGAGGCGGGAAGAAGTTCGTTTCTTCTGATAAGAAGGCAATAAATTCCCTTTCTCTGAAAGATTTAGGTGTCCTGTGGCTGCTATCTCACTGCAAGCCCTTTCTGTTAAACAAAGCATCTTACATAGCATAGTTTCTATTTTAACAATTTTTATAACCTAAAACTATATTTAACACAGTACTTAAGAGAATTAATAAAGCATTTCTTTCTAACACAACACATATAATATTCATTTTAATATTTGTGAAAAGCCAATTATAAAATACATGCATTGTGAAAAGCCAATCATAAAATACGTGCATTTTTCACAATGACAATACAAGAGCTTCCTCAAATCCTGGGCAATATTTAACAGAGATGTTAGAAAAAGACCCCAAAGCAGCGACTAAAACAGTGACCAATAAATCGTGTGAGGAGATGGTCACAGATCATGTGTAAGAAAATATGGAGTGAGGAAGGAAAAAGACAGGAGACACCCGATTGACAAAAGGGCAGAAAACGTCAGATATACATGAAGAAGAAAGAAGCAGAAAGCCCCACAAAAAGGGGGCTTTTTAGAATAAAGACTTTTAAATTGAAAAGGCATCATTTACTGGGCCTTAAAAAATAAGTGGGCAGTCAGAAAAAATTATTTGATTAGCTGTAGAACTGGAAGAATCTGCAAAAAGTCACATACCTAAAAACGCAACCCTGACATGGTCTAAATTCAACAGGTGCTGTTTTTCTTTCCTTAAGCAGCAGCATTCAATCACTAATACTGTGGGACTCCAAGACTGTAGGTTTTACTCCATCAGAAACCACAGTCCTCAGAAATTGATCAAAAAATTTTAGGGAACAGCACTGAAGCAGTAGAATCACTCCAGAGGCAAGATGAAGACTGCCTGTTGTGGGCAGAATATGGATTTTAAACTGTGTCTCAAGCTTTCTCAAAAATTGATTTTGTTAGAATTTCAAGCTCAAGAAGCATCATGACAAAGACAACAGTCAGAGAAGAGAGAAGCTGTACGGTTTCTGCTGCTGTGAGTAGACATCATCTCACTGTAAAATAATTTCAGAGCCACTGGGACAAGGCCTTTTCCTGAGCAGATTGCTCAGTAAAGAAAGAACAACTGTGAATTTGTGTGCCAGGAGCCAGAAGATACAATACAACTGCAATGAAATGTGGTGTCTTTCTGCAAGAGAAGGGATTGCAGCCCTAACTCATATTATTACCAACATTGATCCTTTTCTCTTAGGTTATCCCTAACTTATTGACCACTCATTCCTTTAAAATACCATTTTCTAAGAAAATGATTATACAAGTATTTCAGTATTTAAAAAATGCAAGACGTACAGTTTGTTTTGCTCCTATCATGTCATTAGAGTTCAAAATACATTTCCAAATACATTTCCCAGTCTTTCAGGATAAGAAGAATGCCTAGGGAGAGGTTTACATTATTTTTTCTTCCAAGAGTAAGAAATAAGTAATCGTCTTGTCAACAGTTGAATCCTGAATGTGCAGGTGAAAGATGGCGAATCTTTGATGACAGATGTTTGTCAAAATGCAATACTTAGAACTACAAGTTTGAAACACCTGTTTCCTTTTCCCTTCCCCAAGGAGTCAGATTTAATAAATTTAATACTTTCAACAACTATTCCAAGAAAACCACTTAAGACGAACTAGTCCAGGAATGAGGAAGTAAAAGATGACATTTACTTTCCCCCTCTTAATTACAGTACATTGCAAGTAAGTGATCATGTTCATAAAACTCATTTTTGAACTTCAGTTTAGCCAAGAAGTCTTCTACCATATAATGGTTTTCATTAGCCTTCAAACTAATTGTTTTTAATAAATCATAAGCTGTGTGTACTACTCATAAACATTGTGATTTTCCACTTTAACCAGCAAGCAGCTGGTTTTTACAGACTGCTATCGTTAGAATAGATTGGGAAATTCACTGAAACTTTTAAAGTTTTGCTAAACTAACCCTGATGAGTTTCAGTGAACAAAGCCTGGGGAACAAAACCTGGAATGCAGAATTTATAGCCTTCTAGGACATGTTGCAGGAACCAGAAGTTAAAGAAGACACTAAGAAAGACAATCCAGCATGTGTGCTGGAAATGCCTTATCAGGGAAAAAGACAGTAGGAAGACTGAAAATGTGCATGAGAAATCAATAACTAATAAGACATAGAATACTGTTTAATGAAAATAATTATATCGTTTATAACCAGTGGATATAATTTCTTCGTTTGATAAAAATGTATAAATAAGTGAAAAGTTTTGAAAGTGGCCCTGCATCTACGCAGAGCTATATCCATGCATGCCACACTGTGAATAAAGCAAGGCCTACTTTCTAATACTAAAACATAGTGTTTGATTTGTCCCGACGCTTTCGGCGACAGGTGGAGCAAAAAGGCACATGTGCATGGCAGAAACCGGTTACAAATGTGGCTTTAAAACGCCAGCTTCTGATGACAGCTTTCTGCAGGTTCCTGATCCCCACCAGACTCTGTAACGCTACAGGAAATGGTATTTTTAACTTGTCATTCCTCCC